ATCTCTCTCTCTCTCTCATTTTCTGCTAACACAGAGTACCTGAGTATCCAAAATCACCAGTTCTTCAAAGACCACAACAAGGCATGATGGGCACATTCCGCCGGGGAAGAATTCGCAAACCAGCTGCCTCTCTGGTAAATCAGATAGACCAAAGTCAAAGGTATTCTTAGCACCAGGCTCATGAAGTGCTTGGCAGTGAATATTGACGGTAAACACTTCTCGATAACGAGAGCGACGCGCTACCGTAACTCTATATCGCCTCACTCAGTGCCCTCACAGAGTATTCCCAATTCGTCATGAACCATCTCAGGGGTATCAATTATACTGTATCTATCGCAAACACTAAGCATTTCGCCCCTTTTTTTGCTTTATTCAGGCCAGAGTAAACTCAGCCCTCTTGCTCAAACGTATCATTCAGATACCCAACAAAGCTCTCCCTCATCCTCTCCGCGCTAAAGTTACCCACGCCCTCGAGCCCGATCCCCCCACGGTTCAAACCCACAAACGCCCTCCTCAGCCTCTGAAGCTGCGGCAGCCCAACCTTGCGACCAGGAAGCTGCACAACAAGCTCCTTCTTCTCCCCTGCCGCTCCCGCTGCCCCAGCGCCATCACCCCGTGAGACCTTGACCTCACCGCCCTCCTCCCCCTCAGCCTGTGCCTCCAAAATCCTCTTCACAACATCCTGCGTCTCGCGGTCCAGCACGTACAGGTAATCCCCGCTCGTGTCGCGGCTGCGCTGGACCGTCGCCTGGTTAGGCTTGATGACTTTGCGCCCCGTACCCGCGACGGCGTCCCAGATGTCGTCGCACACTTTTGCCGTCTGCGCCGCGTCGTCGTCCCAGATGAGGGTGAAGAGCGGGCTGTCCCAGCGCGTCATCGGGTTGGGCTCTTCGTAGCGGAAGACGAGGTTGTCCCAGTTGTCCGTTTCGTAGGGCTGCTGCTCTTCGTCGTTGTCGTCTTGCTTCATCTCCTCTTCCGTGGTGGCCTCCTTTACGTCCTCCAGGACCTGACTGTTATCCCCTTGTGCTTCCTCTGTCGTGGTGGTGGCGGTCGTCGTCGCCGATGAAGCCGCCCCTCGCCTCCTCAACCTCTCCTCATTTATCCCCCTGGCCCTCTCAACCCCACACCCAATCTGGAGCACGACGCTCGGCGTCCTCATGGCTTTGGCCTCGCAGTGGAGTTGGTACCGCCACCCCTTGATGTAATTCATCCCGTCCAAGATGACAATATCCCGGTCCGACAGCACGCGCTTCACGGCGCCGTAGACAGCAGCCCTGGCGTCCTTTTCCGAGGCGTTGGCGGAGCGCGTGTGCGCGCGCACCTTGTTCGGGTCGAGGTCGTACACATCGCGTGATATCGAGAGTGTCGAGTCGGAGATGTAGTGGAGTCGGTACGGTGGTGATTGTTTGTTGCCGCTGCCGTCGGCGGCGGCGGCGGCGGCGGCGGCGATGCGTGCTGCTAGGTGGGCTTGCAACTGCTTTGCGCGGGTCGTCTTGCCTGAGGTCGGGAGACCTGATACTACGATTAACTGTAGCAGAGTAAGCTTCTTATTCCACGAGCCCAGCAATGGCAAGACTCACCGGCATACTGGCGGCTTATGAGTCGGGAGGGGTTGTCGTTGAATGCGAGTGACAGACTTTGGCGGGGTTCCTGGGGATTTTTTGCATCTGCGATCAGCTACCCCACCTACCAAATCGGGACTCAACTCATTGGCGCAGCTTGCCTATAATGTAGACGCCCTGTTCACATTGTTTCATGAGTAATTACAAAGGATCATACGAATAACAAGTAATGTATTGAATCTCGATACTTTCGAGTATGGGTATCATGAGTTGTCTGACTCTGCAAAACGCCTTAACCCCCTTCTACATGCATTCCATCACTATCCCTAATAACTGAACACTCTCCTCAGTCATCCATATTCTCGTCCTCATCTACGTCACCTTCAGGTTCATGAGCGCCCATGATATCAATGTAGAGAAGCATGCGCTCCCCCACTAGATCCATCGTCTCCTTGGCGTAGATGTCCCGCGGACTGGGGCCCTTTTTCCCTCGGCCCCGACGGCTCGGGGTCGTCGCACTCCTCCGGTTAGTACCCTTGGCCTTGGCCTTGCGTGCCTCGATTCCCTTAAGCGCGGCTTTTCGGAGCCTGTCTCTGGCTTCCTGAATCTCTTCCGCCGGTAGCGTATGGAGCAGGCTCTCAAGGATCAGCGCCACCCTGGCGTTGTCTTCTGGGTCAATGGTATTAGCATGGTGACCCAGGTAGCACAATTCGAGGACGTCTGCGTTGATGATGATACCGCTGTCCTCCCCCTTGATGACCTTCTTGGGGTCTTCATATCCGGAGGGCAGCAGTTGATCGAGCTGGACAGCCAGGAAGTCGATCTTGAAGGCAGCCCCATATCGCTGTATGTACGAGCTCATGTCGGTGATGAATTGGTGAAAGAACGACAAGGGTTGCTGCTTGAGTAGCCTGCACAAGTCCAGCGTGTATTCGTTGTGGTCCATGAACTCCTCGGGCATATTGTAGGCAACCTCAGAAAGGAGCTCCATCAGTCTCAGACGAAGAGGAATCGAATCTGCCAGTGGGGCAGCAACAAAACCTCCAGCTTTCCTGGCTGGTGTGCGTGGTGTACGAGGCGTTCCCGGCGTGCCAGCCTCAGAGGGTTCGTCGTCCGTCAGCTCTTCGTTGAAATAGTCACCAAATTGGTCGTTCTCAATGTCAAGCGTAGTCATGCGTTTGCGTTTCTTATCCTCGCTGGGTAGCCCCTTTGTCTCCTTGTTGAACACCTCGGGAAATTTCGCCAAGGATGAGGTGCAGCCGTCCGCGAAGACAGCTTGGAGGATCATTCTTAGAGCACCCCGCCCAGAGTCAGTTTTTTGCTTGATGTACATGACGAGGATTGACTCCCGCATATTTGTCCAGTTCTGAGGTTGCTGTGATGAGGCCAAAGATTCTTCGTCAAGGCGTTTCCGTTCGAAGATGTCAGCCTCGAGAACGTCGATCATGAATTTCAGCCAGGTCTTCCAGAAGCGCCAACGGTGGGGATGCAGTCTGCTGCAGTTGAATGCCCAGCCGAGAACAGCCCAAAAGTCCTGCGCGCGCTGCCATATGCTATCCTCGTTGGCCAACTTGTTGTTTCCAATCTGATCGCCGTCGAGGTCCTCGTCCTCCTCATCGTGGTATCTGTTTCGGCGGCCGTAATGGATCCCATGGAACTGGAACGCATTCCTGAAGCCGGCGTTGATGGGTCCAACAATGGCGAGCAGATTACGCAGATAGTCCAGCGTCTGAGAGCAGACCTCGAGACGGTCGGCGCCAGGGGCTCGAGTCGTATGGCTCGGGTGGATGGTCAGGGTGTTGAGGAGGGCAAGGTGGGTTAACGGAGGGACAGGGACGCGCTTCGGGTTGGTGTTGATCTTTCGTGAGAACCCAGCAGTGAGGAGGCTATTGTACAGGCCGAGTGCGCCATTGTCTAGGATAGTCAGCGTATGTCGCGAGGAGAGGGGCAGCTTGCTAACGCACAGAGGTGCTCTTCCAGGTAGATCTGGCAATGTTCCTTCAGCTCACGGGGGAGCAGAGTCGCAGATGAGTACATGCGTGTGGGAGATGCTGGGCCTGTGGGAGTAGGTTTTTCGGAGTTGGCATCCGGTGATTGAAAGGCCGTTCTGAATGAGTCTGGCGATGATACGGCAGATAAATCCGTCAAAGACGAAGAGAGCTCCATCGCGAGCTGCATGGGGTTTGACGCGTCTGGAGACGCGGTTGGAAATGTCCCACTATCGTCAATTAAAGTCGGTTTGGGCAGGGGCCTACAGGGTCCCTGGTCAGTCCAGAACCTTAAATTACCTAAGCATCTAAGGTGATCCATACCCATTAAGCAGGCTATGTATGGCCATCTGGCACCATCTGCTAATGGCTTGACCAACATCTCCAGCACTACAATTGACTGCTTGTTAGCAAAGAATATCAAGCTAAGCCATTATACTTTTCATGTCCTTATACACGATTCTGAATGGAATAGAGAGGTTCCTCCTTCTCCAATCTATAAGTATATAATACCGATCACACGGGACGAATAGATGGATAGTGGGGAAGTGAAGCGAGCTGAGACGAATGTTCCGAGCTTATACAAGCGATCACGCTGGTCCAGCGTGGGCTCTTAATTGATTCCTGGAACCACCTGAGTACATGCCAGTTGTAGCTGAATGACTTGTTGTGTGGTTTCAGGTGGGAGCAAAAAATATCCAGAGTTTATCTGGGTGGAAGATACATCGAGAGACTACCTTAGATATCTAGACATCAAGCCTGATACAAGTACATACCTCTTCCAGCATTGATTCAACTGTAATGTGAATAGGTTTCGTTCTTTATGGTTGGTTCTTGGCATTTCTACGAAGAAGTCTCCTTTGATTCATTTCGAAGAATAGTATTCCGGATGCCGCCACTAGAGATGGCCCTCAAGAAGCGTCAGGTGTCTGGGCTGAGCCGAGACATGAGCTTTTATCAGACATGGGTGCTAATCAGAGATACTCCCTCGGTTCTTCTTCCATTCGACTGCCATGACCTTAGTTTCAAGGCTGCTCGTTTCTTCGTGAAGCGGAAAATCAGAATCTCGCCACACTTCAAGTATATTGGATCACTCGCGTCCGCTATTACTCATCTATGAAAATGCTTCACGGTTTGTGAGTTCAAGTAAAAAAAATGGTAAATGGATAAGCCAGCCTCGTAATGTACTTCAGTGGTCAAGAAAGTAGACCAATGTTCCTTGAGTGTACCCTCGAGAAGTCTCCCAATAAGCTACTCCGATACCAACCTCACTTGAGGTGTCTGATCAGAATTCCATCCACCTCCTTGTCTCCGAATAAAATACCGGCCGCTATCTTGTAAAACCCCCTCGCTGTCTTTCATAGCTCAGGAGCCACAGTCTTGTAGGCCTGTTCCATTTAGTAGAATGCCTCCATAATGTCCCCGGAAGGGTGACCCCACTGAATTATCTTCAAATGCGGCTTCCCGAGTATTTTTCCAGGAGGATTGCCTCGATGACAAAGCCATAAGCCTCAAGGCTTTTGATGATCGACTCGAGGGCTCCGGTTGGTTCTCTTCTTTTCAGTCGCTTCATTCCGAGTAGAACGTAGTATTGCCCGATTTCCAATCGATATTTTGTTCTCCCGTCGGCGTAGGTCTCCTCAAGCCGGCCAAGAAGACGCTCTGCCTTGGATTGTTGACTTAAAGTGCTAGAGTTGGCCATCGTGCTTTCTGAATCTCGGATGAGTTCTTGTCGCCTCTGCAAAGCCTCCTCCGAGACTAGCTTCTTCTCTTCACACAACTCGCAGCGGCACACAAAGCCCCAAGGCTGAAGGCTCTTCTGAACCTCTTCGTAGCTCAGGCCGTCGGGTGGCAAGTAGCAAAATTGCAACTCCGTGTTGGCATCCATATCTGTGCTAGCTCGTAGAATCATCATGTCACCTATGAAGGAGCGTTGACAGTTGCCTACGCAAGCGTGGTTGATGTAGGATGCCAAGATCCAAAGGCCGCAGGTCGTGGATTTCTTGTGACTTAAATGTCCGTTGAATTGAATAAGGCATGTGCGAGGGGAACCGTAAGAGTTGAGGCTAACGACATCCATGACAAAGAAGCTGTGGCATACTAGTTGATGACAGTTCTTCGGATTTTTTTTGGGCCGGACCTTCACTTACGTATCAATTATTGATTTGTCCTGCTGCTTGGCCGCGCCTGAATGAGAGTCCCCATGATGCAAGTCGTTGAAACGCGGAGCGAGCCGAGGGTTATGGTGAAGTTTCTGTATGATGTTGAATGCGAGACTCGCCTGCGCACCAAGTACCGTCCTCTTTGATACTAGGCTCACCAGGACCCTGTTATTCTGGTTAGCATCCATATTATCATCTTCGCCAGCATAGCGATATGAAAAAGCTTTCTCGCAAAGAAGAAGATCCCCAGCCTTCACTGCCTTTGATGTGAAGAGCCCACGTCCACGTTCAGTGGAGCGGCGCACTTCGACAGGGCCGTTGTAGGTCGCGCAGTCGATCACAGGTGGAGTGGCGTTGGCTTGGTCGTACATCTGCCCCCATTGATAGATCCCCCGATCCTGCTCATCGATACGCCGCAAAGTTCGCGCGAGCTCCTTCTTTGCGTCTTGGTTTTTGGGGTTCAGCGCGAGGACTTTTCGCAGTTTTGCTGAACAGAGTGAGAACTGTTCCAGCGAGTAGTAAGCCTTGGCCTCCCGGAAAAGTCCTTTCTGGGTTGGAACGTTATCATCTTGGCTTTTGGAAGCGTCGTCTACCGCCTTTTCCAGGCGATGAAGCCTCAGATTGGCCAAGGAACGATTGAGGAGCGCTGCACGGGTCTGCTCCGGTGTGATGGCGGACGCGAGTGCCTTGGAGTATCTAGGTTGCAATCAGCAAAGACTTGTTCCGTTGTAGACAGTCCTCTCAAATCCTCACAAGAACTCAGCTTTCTCCTAATTCTGCTGTTTCACAGCTGTATCCCCATGTTGCCTAATTTCCTCAGAATTGGCAGCAGTGGCTTTCGATTTCCTCCAACGTCGCGGGATGCGCTCGTCGCCTCCACGTAGCAGGATGATGTCGCTGACGTGGTCCACCCGTAAGTTGTAGCTATTGCCCGCTTTGTTCGCCTGGAAGAACGGATCCTTGATCAGACAGACGCTGCCTTCTGGCAGTACGTCGTTGGCTTTAATCATCGTCTCGTCTGGCTGATTGTAGATAGAAAGCGAGATCGCAGTGCCGGCCTCGTCTACCACAATTGCTGTGATGCATCCTACCCGGTTTGGTGGCGTCACGGTCCGGACAATGACTTGCTTGCCTCAATCATGCTCTTCAAGCCTCATCTCGGAGATTGGAAGAGGCTGCAATTTTCCTGGAGACTGGAGGCAGGGGGGGGTATGGCGTCGGCATCATGATGGTTCATATATCGTATAGGTGTATTTACCGACATTTCCATCATGAATTCCATCTTGAGCATGCTAGTCGGGGGATGATCGTGGGGAATTTGTCCTTTTCTGTTGCCAAGTCGTTTCGCATTCATTCGTAAGTGCTCGAAGTCATCGACTTCAGGCGGGTCCTTGATTTCCATGGCGACTGAAGAGGACTCATCAGTGGAGTTCCTTTTCGGCGGTAATCGTTGGCGTGATGCGGTTCGCGACTCCTGCTCTAGGGTGAAATTGTGGTGGGCGAAGTGAGAGAGAAAGGATGAAGAAAGGAAGCAGGTACGGGAGCAGATATCTGTTTGTGTTTTGGTCGAAATTGAAGAACACGCATTGGGTAATCACACGTCTGCAAATTTGCGTCTATGCAAGAGTCCAACTGCCTGACGAGGGAGATGTTGGCTTCGAAGTAGCTTAAGACAGGCAGGTAGGAACCTCACGTAGATATTCTATCAAAGCGGTTCGACTCTCAAGTCACTTGTCAAAGTGATTTAGCCAGTCTCAGGCTTCCCAGGAAAACGTAAACGTATTCAGGCGCGGTCAGTCTGCTATACGGGTTTCTACCTATTGTGGACCTACACGACAAACGACGATCCAACGACGAGGGTGATGTCTGATCCGGGTATCGCATTCAGAGACAGATCTTGGGCGCCAAATATCGATCAAGATGGCGAACTATGCCAATCTTTTACAGAAATGTGTTCCTCACGTCTAGTGTATGTTAGTCGTGCGACAAATAGGAAGGCTGTCTCCTTCTCTGTCGGCACAAAGCTGTCTCGCTTTAAGTTGTTCTTGCACCACCAAAATGACCTTATTCAATGAGCTGAATTAATACACACCTCCATGCATCAGTATATAATTATAATTCCAAGTCCGGTATTGGAATGATATTCTATAGATACTTTGTGCAGAGTGATACCTATCACAACGTTTAACCATTGTAGGAAATTATCTCCTCATCTGAATAGACATCAATTTCATGGTAACTAATTGTACCAGAAATCCAAAGGTAGTATTGATCATTAAAGCATGGAAAGATGTTGAAAAGGCAGACAGGTGAGCTCATGTTGCCGTGTCCTCCCCCATCAGGTGGTGGTGTTACTTCGCCACGGCATGCCTACCCCTCAGCAGCCCATGCACCAGAGTCTTCCAGCGTTTTCCATCACACCTCGTCATCTCAGCACCACATATTGAAACTTTGAATAGCAATCTGCTTTCTGTAACATCAATTCGGAATAATTATGAGTGCCATGTGACCCGCCTGGCAGTGCCTGGGGCTGTCACATTCAACCCGGCGAAGCCGAGCTTGACATCTAAGCATCGCCGTCGTCCTCCGAGATTCTTAGGCCAAGACATATGATCAACGAAAAAAACACAATGCCGCGTAAAGAAGTTTGTATAAATTAGACACTAGTGCATCGGTATGGTGGATTGTGTAAAGTGATGTTATGCAACATTCACTCCAGTAGGAACAACACCACACAAGAGTACAGCACTTAAGGTCGGCACCCATGTCTACAAGCTACTCCAAGCATCAAGCCGTCTTACATATGCCTCAGTCCATTGAAAGATGCAGTCTGGAACTGCTCTCAAACGACCTCCGAGCCTCGTCATCAGGGACCCGCCAGACGACAACGGGTGGTCCAGCATCCCACCGCTCCCACTCCCACCTCCGCTTAGTCCCCTCCGCAAAGGGCGTACATCCACCCAAACGACATGTCACGATTGCCTAAAGCGGATGAAGGACGCCTGGCATTGGTCGAGGGGTTCATTCACTCGCTGGAGAAGAGGTGTCCACAAGAGAAGCCCCATAGCCGCATGAAGGGCGTGTGTATGTAAGCATGTGAGTGTGTGTATATAGGTCAATTTCAGCCTATAGATGCCTAACAGAGATGCCGTAGCCTTCCCTCCTCGTATCGTAACTGTGAGCGTAGTGTGTACCCCTCCCCTCATATCGGAATCATCGTCGTCCTCCAATGATATCGTCTTGATAATGTCCCAAAACGCCCCTCTGTATGCAAGATCCCGCGGCGGTCTTAGGGCTGCGCAGGTAAGGTACACATGTTGTGCCCTGCAGCCCTACGCCCGACATCGTGTCATTCTGAAATAAAGACTACCCAACCCGTGCCCCCCAATCTAGTAAAAGTACAGTTTGTGTGTTCGAGCCAATGACGCTCCGTGAGGCAGACGACATGCTCTTGTTGTGTGGTGCCGCCTCTTTCATGTTGTGTATATTCCTGTAAACGCCGTCGATAAAGATATGTTTGTTTGGTTTCATGGTAGTGTGGTTTGAGTTGGTTTATCGACCGTTGGCTGTCAAAGCATTAGTCTCAAGGTCGCCATACGAAAGCGTTGCGTTGTGAAGAACTCACTTGCGTCGGTGGGGAAGGTGTCGTTTTCGCCTTCACCCTTTAGGAGCATCATGGAGGCAGCGTAGGCAGTAGTGTTCATGGTGGCGGTTGGTTGTAAGAGTATTGAGGATTGGATATGAGTCGAAGTAGGATGAGGCAGTGGTAGTCTTGTGATGGACAAGTATATGACTGTTGGTGTGAAGTGTAGTGTGATGAGTCTGTTGGTAACCAAGAAATCCAAGGCATCCAGAAATCATAGAATACTTTATACCCAACGGACCTTCAACGAACCTCCAACGGACCAACAATTGAGCTTCATATTAAACCGACCTTGAATTGAGTCATCCCCTCAGGCAGAAGAGTGTGCCTGGGGAGGCAGACAAGACAATCTGAGAGGTTCAATGACTTAGTGCCCCCTAGCCAACGTCGCCTTGAGGTTCGACATGGCAGTGCACGGTGACCTGCTACGACAATGTGAATGGAAATACCATACTCTTGCACGCGATTGCGCATATTCGGTATGGCGATCCTGGTTCGGCATCAATGTAATTCCTAAAAAGTCTAGGCTATTTCGTCCTCTGATTCGTCCACGGTGTGGGTTGTAGAGATCTAAGCCAGGATGCCTCAAAGTCGAGTATCAGGTAATTGGACCCCTACAGATTGGAAAGCCGGCCGCAGTGCAAGGCAGATCAAAGACAAGAGGCCAGTGAGTCAGATCGGTGCAACTACAGTAAAGAAACATGACCCCTCCTTCCCGGAATGGATGTTTGACAGAGAACATGACCGCGGCCTCAGAAATGCATCGACGTTTGCAGAATGGAGAGGTTGGGGGACGACTTGGTTGCCTGGGTTAAGACGTGTGTGGTGACGGGGACGACATGGGGGTCCCAGGCGGTCTGAGGCAGCAACCCCCCATATTTCCAGGCACGAGGGGAGTCCGCGCCCTGAAAATGCAGTGCTCTTCGGCTACAAGGAGAAAAGACAAAGGGAAAACTAATCCAACGCCAACGGAGTGCAAGGTCTCGTCATGAGCAACGGATATGTGTGCGTCGTTGCGTGTGACTGGCAAGGCACCAAGGTGCTCATTGTTAGCGGGTGTGGCTTTGCGCTTCGGTGTAAAACGTCGAGGGCGCAAACGCGCCCTTGCGCGCGAGGGGCAGGGAAAAAGGTTGGAAAACGGAACAACAATGACAAAATAGAGGAACGTCGGGGCAATGCAATGCTGTCACTGCCCGTGTGACTGATCTTGGACAAACTGGGCAACTCTCGACAGGCATTACTTGGTCCGGTGGTGAGTCGAAGGCCTCAAGGCTGACTGGAACATGGTGCCGGTGAGGCTTGCGGGACGGCTACGGAGAGGCGGCGGAACAGTCATTTTTACAAAAAATTCGGAGCATGTCGGGAATCACTCCCCCATTACATTTCTCGGTGACGGGCTCCGTCTTGATTGACGGAACCGGAACCCCAAGAAACATGGGATAGGAGGCACAGCCCAGTTTCCCTCTAGCACTCAAACTGACCGAACCACAAGTGGAAGAAGTTACGTCGAGATCGGTTGATTATTTTGGTGCGAAGTGTGTAAAGAGGAAAAACAGGTCGAGGGAGGGGGGAAATGTGGTCCGCCAGACAAATAAAGAGGTGTCGTTGCCTGCAGGCTACCATGCTTAGCTAATGACAATGTGCTGCCTAAGCTTGAGCCAATCAGGGCTAGCACGTCGTCAAACCTCGTGACCCAGGAAAAAGACGGCGTCCCCACATTTTCCGACCTGGTTTTTCTCGCAAAGTATATTTTCACGCGTTTCCCCTTCCCTCCTGTCTCTTCTGCTCTCGAACATCATCAACAACAGTTCGCGGGCCACCTACCCCATCTTGGGCTAGGATCTTATGCATGGTCCTTTTCAGCTTCCAGAATGGCGTTAGACTGCCTCGTGATGTCGCATGGCAGTCTGCATCTCGGTCCTGAACCAAACCGTCGTCCATGGCCTTGAGAGCAAGTGCCGAAGCCAAGCGACACGGACACGCCCCGCGAGCTCATTTTGATGTGTGCTTATAACACAAGGTCTTCGGACCAACCCCACGATATGCCTACACCTCGCGATCTTACTGCGCAAGAGTGTCAACTACTTTTTTATTCGTTCGAGTGGGAGAACAAAACCAACGGTCTAGACAACCGGTCCGCTCCACCCTGATACCGTCGAGATAGTGCGGCTTCAGGACTAAAATCGGACGAACATATCACAGAGCATCTCACACGAGTTGCAAGTGGTGTGTTCTAAAACTACCTTGATTGGTATCATTATAGTAGAGAGTCATTATTCCTAAACCCATACCACCGAGTCGTACCTGCCATCAGATATATGTATGAAGGGTATTCCGACATCCTCTGCGCAAGAGTTGCGATTTCACTCCATCTCTCGAGTTGAATCAAAACCCTGTCAGATCCAGTTCTCGCCAAAGATGTGCTTCTCGTCCATGAAAGACAACAAGAACTTGGACACTAGGCGACCGGTATAGTTGGCCGCTACATCTCGCGGGAACGGGTGCTGCTCGTGGTCGCTCGATAGAATTGGGTCATCCGCCAGGCCTTCAAGTTCCTTGCCTACATACCACAAGTCAGCATTGATGATTCAACCATTTGGTTCTCGAGGCAGCCTACCATTCTGTTGGATCAAATTCTTCAGGCCCAAAACCATCTCTATGGCTGGTCCGTCCAGGTCGCCTTGCTGGGCCCATGAGTTGTCGAGCATGGGATTGAAGGGCTTGTTCGCCGTATCCCGGCTGTGGGTCTGGTAGATCTGGTGAAACTGGTACGCGAATTGCTTGAACGGCATGTTTTCGACCGCTGCGTTAATGTTCAGGGCGTCTTGGCGTTTGTATTCCGGCGGCGTATGGTTACGTAGGCTGATCTCGTTGAGTGCCACCACAAAGTTATCCGCGGATGTCTCAACTGATTCCATGAAGAGGCACAGCACCAGGAACGAGGCCATACACGGCGCCCACTCCTGTTTTGACTTGGGCTTGAGTAGCTTTGAGAAGGACTCGAAAAGATGCTGCATGTCCCTCATCAGGAGCTCGTCAATTACCGCCTTGATCTGCCTGTTGACGACACGCGGGGTCACCCATGGCACTTCCTGGGGGACGAGACCGGAGTCTTGAAGGCCTACGACGCTCTGCCTTGTGATGCAGAGGTGGCGGGTCATGACGAAATGGGCGCCGTAGATCGCCAATGCCTTCTTCACCATTGACGACTAGGTCGGGTCAACCAGTGCTCTTGCGCAAGACAGTCAATCGCGCGGCAACTTACATCAGACTTGTTGGCGTATATCTGCACAACATCCAACACCTTCTTTGGCAACTCCGTGTGCCGTATTGACTCCGTCACTGACTTGGCGAACCTCGGCTCGGCTGCGATGGCGGCGAGATACTCCTTTACCTTCTTCCTCAAGGCCTCCCTCTGAGCTGCCGAATCCAGCTCCAACACCATAGGTGCCGAGCCTCTGGCTTGCAGATCTACCCGATCCTTTTGCACGTGCAGGTGGTAGTGCTGCTGTACTTCCTCCGTCCGAGGCTTGAAGAACCTCGCCCGAACCTTGAGCGACGCTGAGAGACCAGAAAAGAGCTCAACCTCACGAGGGGCTAGTTGCACAGCGTCCAGGTCGACATTCTCCGCCATGAATTTCGACATTTGATCCTTGCGGAAGTGGCTGCGCATGAAGTCGGGAAACAATACGGTCAAAAAGTCGGAAAACTGCCAGCATACGACCTGCGGCACCTGGCCGGCGAGCTTTTTGCAGCTCTTGCACGGCCTCTGCGAATCGCACTTGACTTTGCGGCTGTGGCAGCAGAAGCAGGCACCTAAACGGCGCACTTGGAGTGCGCTCTCCTTTGTCGCGTTTGCCAGAGGGCCCTTGCGGCCGCGCGTCTGGATCTTCATGGCTTCGAAGCACTCCCACGGGTTGGGGCGGCCGGAGGAGGCGTTGATGGAGTTGGGCGTGACGATGACAAATTTGTTTGCGGGTTCGGTGGCCTTCTTCTTCTCGACCTTGCCGGTGATGACCTTGCGGATCTGGCTGGCCGACGCTGCCCTGTCGCCCTCATGCTTGAGGTCTGGAGAGCTGGAGTTGGACTGAGAGGGACTTGTGGACGTGGAGCTCTGGGACGAGGTTGCGGAAAAGTCCTCCATCAAGAACATTGAGCTGCCATTGTCGACTTTGAGGTTCGTGGGGTTCCATGGGCCCGGGTTGATGCTAGCAGGGAAGGTCTGTGACAGGTCGATATCGCCATCGTGCTGTTGTTGCGGGAATGTGTCTAGGTCGGCCAGGGAGGCATTGTTCGATTGGAATGAGTTGACGAAAGATGTCAGTTCTGAGAACAAAGTTAGTTAGATCAGGTATACTTGAAAGCCGGGAACGGGTGGAATGAGGACTAACCATTCAGGTTCAGCTGTTCCTCTGCAAAGAGGAAGCCCTGCGGTGTCAAGAAATTGGCTTCCTGGCCGCTGGGAACGAACTGGCTATCAACAGACGGCGCGGGAGCAGCAAACGCCTCCGCTTGGTCGGGGAAGCTCGAGGCGGAGAAGGCGGGCTGGTCGAGGTCGAGATTTAGCGGGGATAGGCCCGCCGGGTCCGAGCCGGCATGGTGGCCGACGACTGCAAAGCCGTTGAGACTGCCGCTGGCCGGGCTGGGTAGGAAGCCGACTGAGGCCGGATACGAGGCGTAGTCGAGATACTGCCATGATTCTTCGGTGTCGGCCGCGGACTGAACATCGTAAGGCGAATGAGGCGTCGGGCCCCTCGAGGAAACAGAAGCCATTGCAATGTCTGTGAGTAGGCAGGACGTATAAGTGGCGAACCGTTGAGTCGCCCGGCGCTTTCAATCCGCTCGGTAGGTTCGATTCGATGATTCCGCAGCCCCTTGTGGTTCGTTTGAGAAAACCGAACAATAGGTCCTTGTTTCCTCCCAACGTCGAATGGCCAGTTATCCGGGGGGGCTGTGTCTGCTTACGCCCAATTTTGCAACTGGCGCGGGGGTCGCTCTCTGGACAAGCGAAAGATGCCAGGCCTCGTCTCGTCTTTTCTCCCTTTCGACACTCGACAACTCGGAAGGGCGTGATTTGAATTGTTGTCAACCAGACTCGAGATGCTGCACAATCTCACAAGTTGCCCTTTTCTCACCGTTCTTTACCGCTCGGGAAAGTCATGCAGGAGAGCGGGAACGAAGGAGAGACGGTGCGAAAAGGGCAGCCAACAAGATTAATACGAGGGGGGGGGAAACGGCGCTGTCACACACTCAACCCCCATGACAGCAGATGAGCAGCGCGACCAGTAAGCAGCGGCGCCGCAGCCATCCCGCGCAGACCCGTCAACCTGTAAGGTACTTTCTTGTGGGCACGCTTTGCTGCTGAATGAGCTGGTCCTGGTCTCCGCTCCTTCGGCCCAGCAGAGACGCTAAGCCCTTTCTGGGACCGAAGGTGGACACTCTGCTCCACGAATGAGAGTGCTCTAACCCGATCCATCACCGGCCGCTCACCGGGGCCCGGAGGTGCGGGAGGACCCTTTTGCCGCACCGGTGACCGTTGTGACCGAAGCTGGTTCCGGCTCTTGCCACCGGAGAACACACCTGATGCCGCGGCTCCGTTCCGTGGCATGAAAGGCTAGATTACAGGAAAGATCTATCGAATCAGGGTGGCATGAACGGAAGGCACCAGAAATAAAACTTGTACCTTCAGCTACCTACCTTACCTTAGGTAATATGCATCAGCGTTACGTTTCTGGCAATCGGCACTGTCCCCTTCCTTCCTCCCAAACCAACGTTGTTTCCTCATTCAACCTCCATCACCTGACAGGCGCTTGATCAATGCATCGCCAAACCGACGTCGAACTTGTTTTCACCATGAACCTTTGACATCCGAAAAGACTGATTTACTTATTCCATTCTTACAAATGCCTCGGAGATCGACAGTAAAGCTCACGCCAGCGAACCGGCCCGAGCCCCAAGACCCTTGATGATTGACCGTCATCCAACATCCCTCAGGATTGCATCCCGCTCCCCGTCGATATCAAACCCCCCAACAGTCATAACATCAAGCCTCGAGTGCACCTTGACTCAAACCAACCTCCCACACTCCGCCACTCCGCGTCCTGTCGTTCTTCGCATCACGAACCGCCTCCAAGCATCTATCTGCATGCATGTACCAGAGGACAATCGCTCCCCGGATCTGCCAGAGTGAATAAGCTCCCAACCCGCCGGCGTTCGACCTTTGTCTCCACGACACCACCGTGGAAACGCCAACGCCATTCTCATTTCCCTAGTACGAACACAATGTCGAGTCCGGCAAGCTGATCATCACGCCTCCTCGTGTGACTAGCACAACACCCAGCATCCCCCGCCAAGATAAGGTTTAGCGCGCGCGGCGCTTGACTAGGACTTACACGCACAACGTTCGGATACACCTGTCTGTCCGCCTGTTTGCAAGTCCAAGTTGGCACAGCTCAGACCACAAACCCCGTTCGGCGCGGAAGCTAAACGGGTCCATGCCGCCCGGCACGGCCTCCCCGCCGACGCCGGTGCCCAGGGTCGCATATCGCCACTCGCCCAAGGGTGAGGAAAAAAAGGAAACGGCTGGATTTGCTGAAATATCTGCCGCTTCCGTCGGCATCCTGCCGTCATTCCTAGCCCGCTCCATTCCTCCTCTAGGCAGCTTGGCCGACACTACACAAGGGCCGATGGTTTCTTTTGGGATCCCGTTGATAACTAGCGAAATTGGAGGCAGAATATCCAACTACAACAGGCCGGCTATAGCATCGTCGATTATGCTGTCCACGATCCACTCCGACACGAAACTAGCTCTCACACCTCGAAACAATGATTCAGGATCCCGAGTCCGAAGTTGGCACAGCACCCTCGTCACAGACAGAAGCACGTTCCAATTTTGCCCGGGTAAACCCAGTGAGTCGTGTGCCGGGACGAACCCCCTTCTTCACTGCGTCCGCCAAATTGCTTGGGTCACCCACCACTTCAAGTCGATACAGTGGAAGAATGTCCCTAAGATAGAACATCCAAACTACCGCAACCCTGAGTATCGCAAACCTTGCTCTGCCACACAGCTCTGCTTATTCACGCTCTAGTCAGCCAAGATTCGAAACCACCTTCTACCGGACTCTAACGTTCTTCCAGAATTCCGCTCTTTTCGCTTCCTTGCTTCCCTGCGCTCATGGGCTTTGTTCCCAGCACCAGCCTGTCTGTTCGCGCCCTGGAGTTTGCCTTACCCGTACTGATAGCAAAGTATATAGAACTCCATTCTTTGCGACAATGTGTCAATCGGACGCCGCCATGTGGGCGGTAGAACTGGAGAAGATCGCAAAAAGAGCCCAAGCCAGGATGTGGCCTTTTGGCCTGTCTGCCATGTGCCCCGGTTTGCTTGTCATTCTTCAACACGACCACACCAGTCCCACTAGCAACCTCATTGCATGCTTGTCTATGTAACCCTACCAATCACCGGAAACTGTAAGTCTACATCATACTATTCATCGGCTGTTTGCCTCGCCTTTGACATGAGTTGTCAAGGGGGGCACGCGGCGCAGTCCGACGGGATTCTATGCGGCACGCAGATCGCATCCGTTCTTTCCCATCCATCTTCAACTCACTTTTCCAACAGCTTGCTTACCCCCCGGTTTCACGACTTCGCCCCCCCCCCCCCCGGCCCTGGCTCTTCTTCCCCGGGTGATCCATTAGGCGGGATGTGACACAACGGTCTCCCCATTGACTTACAGAGCTCCCTGCGTCGTTTTACGGTTTGTGTTCCCCGTTCTTGGCCAGGTGATAGTATAGGATACCTCCATCGATCGCCGCTTATGGTCCACGGTGGCCCTTCCCGCCCAAGTCACCCCGTCAGGCACGCAAGCAGGAGCCCCATCGGCTGATGCTCACCGTTCATTTCAGCCCAACCCAAGCGCCGCCGGGTGTGGGGGGTAGTGAAGTCGCACCGATAGGATAGGGGCAGAGCCGACGGATACTTGGGTTTCCTCCATGCCTGTCCTGCGGTCCTTGCCATTATGCCGGGTTAATAGGCCAAATTGCGTAGCTTTGGCTCCTGGAACATGCGCAGGGAAGACGATAGAGCACCCCCCGTCCCCTACTTGATGGCAGGAGTCAGGAGGCGTGCGATGAACAGAGCGCCTCAAGTCATGACGTTTACGAACTGGATACCGGCACACTTCAAGGATTCTGCGTAGATTCTTGGCGCTGAGAGAGCGCGCCCAGCCACGGGCTATGGGATATCAAACTGCCAAAGGCTCATCTAAGCCGCCCGAATCAAGTGAGAAGAGAAAAAAAACAACGATAGTAGAGTAGGGATATGTCCAAATTGCTCTCTCTCTCTCTCTCTCTCTCTCTCTCTCCCTCTCCCTCTCTCTCTCTCGTGACGCACAAATAGAGACAATACGCACAAGCGCAGAACAAAGGTTGTCAAAACCGCCATCCGGTAGCCCAGTGTAAGTGAAGGGTGTCTGTCAAAAAGAGATATGACCCGTTGAAACAACTCCAGGCCCCCAAGCCACGCCGTGGCAGTGCAGAAATGAATTGCAAACCACCAAAATAACAGTACCAATGTACAAAGAGGTTTCCGCCCTTTCCTGATGAACCTGTAGCGCCCACCGCTTTCCCTGTAGCATGCTCATGCCCCTTTTCGCTTGCGGAACCAAACCGTAAAGGGACAAGTAAAGGTATGTGTGTGTGTGTGTCGTGTGCGTGTGTGTAAAGAGGCAGTTCAGTCGAGAGTCCCTGGAGGCCGCAGAAGTAAAGCGAGGTTTTTCTGCCCACAACGGAGCGCCATTACCATTTCTCGTACAAAAATCAGATTAAAAAACAAACAAGACGCAACTCGCTCTGCCGAGAGGTGGAGCGTTGAGCTAAGCTAGAGCCTGTGGGTGTATTCTCCTGCGTCGTGCCTTTGGGGGCGCTGGCGTCCTGATGGCGTCCCGGTTCCGTATCGAGGAATCATTTTCACTCTTCTTCTCTTCTTCTAAAGAACGAGGTGGATTCCGCCCTTCTGCAATAACTTTCAGTTCGTAAGGTCCGTAAAATGTCGTAAACAAAGTGCCACATTGGCTAATAGCATCGAAACACTCTCCGTGGTTTGCTGCGCACGGTGAGGTTGTCGAGTTCGGCCTGGGCGAGTATATGGTAGGAGGAAGCATGCAAGCCACACTAGCTTCTGAACCGCTGTGCAGCGCGGTCTTGAATTTGCTTCTCCGTAGAAACGTATAGTCGGTCGAGGTAGTCCATGGCGCTCGCGTCCTTGAGGATCTTGGCTACCTGGATGCCCGCCGAAATGAGCTGTAAAATGTTGCGGTCGTCCTTTAATGGGCGACTCTGGTGCTTGGCCGCATGTCGCATTTCCAGTGAATTCTCAAGAATCGTGACAAACTGCTTGATTTGGCCGTTGTAAAGTACCCGCGCCGGGATGCGGCGCTTCGTAGCCAGGCGCTTTAGGAGGTAGACCCATTCTGTCCATTCTCGATCCTGAGGTCGCTCAACAGGTCGCATGTCCTGTGTCAAAGGAATGGGAAATTGATATTTGGCCACAAAGTCGTACGCACACTGAGAGAGTCTGTCGTTGACTTGGGTGAGCACTAAGTCCTGCTCTTGAACGTGGAGGTTGGTGGGGAGATGGGGCAGTTCGCGTTCTTGCATGGCAATGTATTCTGGCGGCGGGCGAGCGAGAAACTGGTGCGGGCCGTCGAATTCGTCGCGGTTAGAAGGTCGACGCTGTGGCCGACCCTTGCCGTTCACCTTGCTCTTACTCGGGGGAGTGGTGCCGGCCCCGTTCTCGAGGGAATAATCAGAAAGGTTCGGAGATGCAATGATGTCGTCGACCGAGTCCGTCGGAGAGTATCTTTCCTGGTGATCCCATGATTGAGAGTTCGTACTCTTGTACGAACCGTAGCCGGCGGCACCACTGGTGCCGTATGTGCCAGAAGCTGGGCGCGATCCGTACGCCGGGGCAGCGGCGGCGGCGGCGGCGGCAACAGCATGGGGATTGGTTCCGATCGGCAAATTGTAGTTACTAGCTCCTGGCGAGTACGTGGACACGCTTGAAAGGGATGGTGTTACTCGTTGTGCTCCTTTGTGGGAAAACATCATGAACAATGACGTCTGGTTCTTACCTCGATGAACGATAGTAGTTGGTATCAAATCCTCCGGCAGGCGGGAATGTATCGTTGTACATTGAACTTTTCTTCATGGTCAGTCACCCCTCCTCGGGCTTTTTGGAAATTAGGAGAGCGCTCCGTACCTCCGCGTCGAGTTCCACGGTCCGTTGGACATGGCTGATGGTCTGTAGGCAAAGTCCGGTTGGGCCATATCTTCCGGCGGCATAACGGTAGAGAGAAAAGAAATCAGGCAGCAAAATGTTTGGAAAGGTCCAAAGTGTCCAGAGATGGAAGCCACGTGAAATATGAATAGTCCTTGGGCGGGCAGGTCAGCCCTGGGTGTCCAAAAAGAGTCCTTTGGGCTGTGATCTTCGGCCAAGTATTCCTGGGAAAATGCGGCAAGTTGTCTCCTCAAACACAAGGGAATCCACGATAACAAAAATGGTCTTGTTCCAGGATGGGACCCTTGAAGAACTCCGGGTCGTTGCAAGGGCGGTGTGCGTGATGGGGGGCAAGCAGGTGATCGGTCCAAGAAACGACCCGTCTCCACGAAGACACCTTAAATGACTTATAAGATGATCGGGAATGGCTTGACGTGAAAGACACTAGGGGGTTAGTGGGAGATGTCTGATCTTGCTGGCGCAAAACGGGAAAGAAGAAACCAACAAGCTCCTGGGATGGACGAGGATGGGGGAGCGGGCAGGATCCTGACAGTGGATGATTAAGTTCGGAATGGAGGCATTTATGTCTGCTTGCGATGTCCTTCCTCGTGGGGCGTTGTACTGGAGCGGCGACAATGGTTGATCCTGGTCAAGACAGCAGAAAGATGTGGTCCGTTGGGAAGTCGAGGCGAAGGGAGGACAGGGACCAGGACAGACGCAGGCCGGCGAGACTCGAGTAAAGATTTGCATTCGCCCCAATGACCAACACCATGGACTCATGGAGACGTCTCTGGTTTCAAGCGGGACGGCTGCCGCATGGGCTGGAGGATACGTGACTGCCAAGCGCTGTAGTCCAGAAGGTTCATCTGTCGGGCGTCCTGGAATAGATTGGTCAACGGTGGGAGCCCCAGGACAAGTTGGCATCCATCCCTAGCTTGTCGAGCGTGGATCGTGGGCACGACACGCGAGTGACGAGGGAGATCAGCGTGCCCTTTGATTGCTGGTGCTCTTCCTGTCCCCCTCTATTTTCGCGCGATGCCAGGTCGAATTTTTTGACAGTTGGCCCCTCAGTCAAGGAAGACCCCAGAAGGACGACAAATCTTATGGTCGGCCTGTGTAGACTCACGCGTGGAAGCCATTGGACGTGCCAACTCCTGGCGGAGGACGGAGCCAGTTGTGTCGAGTAGGGCACCGATTGGGCTGTGACAGAAACTTTTCCTTTGCTGGGTTGGAGGATTGTTGCCCGAAAGGTCGGAGTAGCTTTTCGGTACCGGATGGGATGATTTGTGCAGGGTTGTACCTAGCGGGAGAAGAAGCGGTGACAACAGGCCGGGTTGGGCACAAATTGGACAAGCAAACACCGACGGCCGATACGATGAGGGGACGCGCGCTACGTGCGAAATGTGCGTGCCCAACCATGCCTTGATGCCCACCTGGTAAGTCGAAGTTGCTTTTGTGCATCATTGAATCAGGAACCCTCCATCGAATACCCCAACAGTGGCATTGCTCGGAAGGGGTTGACTGACTATTGCCAGTTAGCCAATCATGCAGCGCTTCAGCAGACTTTCTTCGTTGTCACATTCGTGGGCGCCTTGCTCCGCTGAATCCCGGGTGGCTTCTGCTACTTTAGCAGTACCGGGTCGGTGACCTTTGGAGCCTTAGTGATTCGCAGAACCGACAAATGGTATGTGTAATCTGAAAGTAGCAAACGTGAAGCTGGTCACGGCGATATTGAGGCAGGGAAGGCTCATGGATCCAGAAAGATATTGCTGGGGCTGGTCAAGATTTGGGTGGAAGCGTCTGGGCCCCTCCCGCCAGGGCCAATGGTGTGTACCCCAGAGGCTTCAAGGCTGGTCGTTCGGCTGGCTGCGGGTGACTAGCCCATCGCCATCGACTTCCCTCGCCAATCAGGCGGGATGACGTGCGCCTCGGTTAACCCCAGTATCCTGGCGTGCCTGGGTAGTTTCTCGATAACCTCAACGATTCGAAGTTGACTGTCCCGAAACTACGGGCGAGCAGTTATGGTCGGACGATCGCCGCAATCTCTGTGCATAATATGCCCTAGACAGATTGATCGATCTCGGTGTGCAGTGACAGTCAGAAGTGGTCAAAACGAGCCAAAAATTGCCGAGTGGAGGAGGGGGGCAGGATGGCTATTTCGTCTATTGATGAGCTGTCAAGCGGCGCCTCGTGGATTGCGGGGATTGCGGGACGATCAAATCGCCAAACAGATAAAATGAGATGGATGACGTTAGTTGTTTTTTTTTGTTGCCATGTTCGTCATCAACGTCTCGAGCTGCTGTCACATTTGACAGTCATTTGGGTGTAATGGCGACAACGACTACGGATACATGTCGTGCCAAGTGTATGTGCTGCAAGATTTGGGGAAATGCCGTTGTTCGTCAACCTGCGGACGTCGACACCTATCGTTCCACCACCGCATTGATACAGGGTGGGTGGGGAGTTTGTTGTGTTGTTTCGTATGCCTCATTGAGACGACGTCTTTCTGGAGCGGAGTAGACCGTTGAAAGTTGGCCGAAACAAAGGAGCAAAGAATCTTGGGCTCCCCATGTTTCCGGGCATTGAGAAGGCCGGGATGTTGCGCATGGCGGAGCGAAATGCGCATGACATGGCCGAAATCACAACCGGTGTGTCCCACTTAAAATCTGGCGATTCGGAGGGGTATGACCGGCCACTTCCACCGAGTTGTCAATGCGTCTTTGCTTCGTCGGGTCAATACCTCTATCCCGTTTTCCGGGATAACGGCTCGAGATCGAGTTCAATCGAGAGGCCCGTCGCGGGTTCCTGGTCGGCCCAGTTCTACCACGATTGCCACGGTCGCACCGATGGAAGGATCCGGCCATGGAAGCATTTTCGAATGTTCGGTGTAGACGTTTGGGACAACACCGGCTTGATAATCTACAGCAGGTTGTGAGGATGATTCGGTGGCCGACAGGGTTGACGCTCGACGCTAAAGACGACACTTTAGGATGGAAGATTGGTTTATGCCTTGCTTATTAGCTCGGGTGGGTTGAGTTCTGGAATTTTCTATTCGTCTGTTGGAGTCCTCGGTCGAGATGTTGGGCGGGACGAAGTGTGGTTGACCGTTGACCATGAGATGCTGTCAAACTGAGGTCAAGATGTTCACTTCATCCATTCAAGTTCAAATCCTGCAGGTCCGGCCCTTCATCTCCAGGCTCTCGGGTACCTAAGCTTCCTGAAGTACCTTACCTAATAGGCCGTCCGCCCCTTCCATTACAACCTCAGTGGCCGGAAAAACAACGGCAGGACGGACTTGCAACCGAAGGGGCTTGGCGGGGCTAGACCGGGTATATTTCTGACCCACCCGCTGACACCCTTTATCTCCTATTGGTTGAGCTTTTATGCACCTCTCGTGTAGCAACTTCCACCTGATCGCTTACGCCAATCATCATCAACATCAGCAACGTTTTCGTCAAGTTCAGGAGGCTGAATAAACATGAGGGACGGAAGGCAGAGACTCCTGAGTCGCAAACTACGTGTATCTCTTCTCTCAATTCCAATCTCCCAGCTACCACTTCTATGTTGTTCCCTTCTTGCCCAGAGCTTTCCCCAGGATCTCATGCAATTGCAAGATCAATCTCGCTCTGGTCCGCATAGCCGCAGTTCCCACCAAGCATGATCAATCGGCGCCGCCTCAGGCCCCGGGACTGTGTGGAGTATCATTGACAACGAGGTGCATTGAGTTGACATGGCACCGCCCAAGAACCGAATACGCAAATTCCACCGTCGCAGCAAGAACGGTTGCTCGACGTGCAAGCAGCGTCATGTACGATGTGACGAGCGGAAGCCTTTGTGGTACGCATCCCTTCCTCGTATCCCATGCCCATGTCCCTTTGACAATGCTCATGCCCCTCAACTGCCCCTTGTCATATGTCCTGCCCGTGTAGGACCAACAGATAGGACACCCCTCCCATCTAATGATTACCTAACATCGGCTTTAGCACAAACTGTCTGCAGACCGGCAAGGACTGCGTATATCCTGACGTTGAACTTGACGAGGAGTCTCGATCAGATTATCTCTCAGAGGCCCGATCTGGATCCGAGCCAACCGTTATCCCGGCTGAAGAAGCCTCCATCATTCCCAATGTTGTGTCGAACCAGCCATTTGCCGGCTTCTCATGCGACTACCAGATGTCGGCAATGTCGCAATGGCTCTGGCACCAATGTTAGCAGCCTTCCTTGCTTACGAGATCACTTGACTGACACCGTGCCCAGTCACCGCCTTTTACGTCAGAGGTCAGACTCCAGTAGAAAGGGGACAGAACCTATGCAGGTATGGCTTCGTCATCTATCCCAGCACACCATCCAGGCTAACATTCGAAAGCGTACAAAGGACACTTCTGCACCCGGGTCTGCTTCACGGCTGCCTCGTCGTTGCGGCTTGCCAATGGGCATGGGTCACTGGATCCCTTGAACACGTCAAGGTGCCGTTTCTCTATCACAAGGCAGCCGCCTATGAGTTTGCAAAGCATCAACTCTCCGAGTCTGAGGAAACCGTTAGCGACACAGCCATCTTTGCTATAGCCAGCCTGGCACTCACTGAAGTAAGGAACCATGACGTCCTAATGATGGCGTTTTGCATGCTAATGGCATGCGCAGGGAGCGGTTGGGGACTTGGATGCTTCTTCGAAGCACCTGCGCGGTCTTCACAGACTGACTCTCAGGAAGAACGGCTATAATTTGATGAGATCGAATCTAGCGCAGCAGATGCTGCAGATGTGAGTGGCCCCTCGCGGATAGCATATAGCGCTGGTCGGTTAACCAATACCTTGACAGGGCTGGTGATCGCCTACGTCTAGGAGAAGTAAATGTGATTCACGATGCCATCAGTGCTGATTTCCAGCCCAGTATCATCGCCTTGCTGTTCACTTCCCTATGGGATATGGAAAGTCTCCCGCCGCGGCAAGCACCGAGATACGGTTGGTGGGAAGGCGACGAGACGCCCACAGACAGGCTCTGGCAGGATTATACCAAAAACCTAAACTGGGAGCTTTCTCGTGGATTCGACCCAGAGCGCAATATAGCGACGATGCTCAACGGGGACGCAAAGAGCAGCAGAGCGAGCTACATTGCCACCTTTTTCTACCTCGTCATGGCGGTCAACGACAGCGAAATGGATTGCGTCCTGACCGTGTGGCTACTGGAACAGCTCATTGACGACGTCTGTTGCAAGGAGGAGGAAATGATTGCCGGGACCTTCAGCCGCAGCCTTTGGTTATGGAGCGTCCTTTTCGGAGCTGCCGTGGCTTATACGGGTAGACCAATTACCGCAACAGGCAGAGAGCAACTCGCGAGGTGGAGAGAGTTGTACGCTGCGAAATTGAGCTTGGCCAGCAACGTGCTGCAGCTCGACAGCTGGCACGACGCGAAAACGGTACTGGCGGAAGTTGCCTGGACCGAAGGCTCAGATGCCGAGGGGAGACTACAAGACATCTGGGAAGCAGCCGTCTTGCGTCGTACGGGCTCTGCAAATCGGGTTCATGAAGTGGACGTGACGACGTGAGTGGCTGAAAGTCACTACAAACACGGCTAGAAGATCTTCCAGCTCCCGAATCGGCATGCTCATTGCCCTCCGATCAGCAGCACCATTTCGACAGAACGGGATACGGCGATGCATATCCCCCCGTACACGAGTTCATGACATCGCCGACTACATGCCGGAGTAATGTTTTGTCGAGATCCGGTGTCAAGTTTTCGGTGACCTGGCGGCCCTGGCTTGAGTCAGAAAGCTGGCACACCGAGATTTAGATCGGCGTTTTAGGTAGGGGATGAGGCGCTGCAACGCCCATTTTGTCGTAGCGCAGGCGGGCGGCTTCATATCCGAAACTTGTTTTTTTTCCTCACAGTGAAAAACTAGCAGCTGAAGAAAGATCCACCGACTGGTATCTCTTGATCTCCGGTTCGTATCGGCGACGGCGGCGAGGCGCAAGGACGAGATCGCCATGATTGTCAATTGCCTCAGGTCGTGTTAAGGGGCATTTCGACTCGGCAGCATCTACCGAGGGACGAGCATAACAGAGTTCAATGGTGTGGAAAGACGGCAAGGATGAGCCGAGTAAAAGGTATTCCACCTGCGACCGGGCTCGATGGGGAAGGGAAGCTGCCGAACGGGAGGTTGGAACTCTGCCGGCACGGATGGGTCAGTAGTGGATACTCATGTACTGATCATCATGCTTGAATGTCAAGGACAATCACGTGCAAGAGTTGCGTCCAAGAGTTGTGAAGCCTTTGATGCAAGGTGGTAGCAAAATGCTGGAGGGGAAAAAGTGAAGGAAGAAAGGTGTTTTCATCGTATAACTATTGTCTCAGGATGAGGTATCTACTGACTGTAAGCACCGGTAATTAGACAATTAAGGTAAGATGGGTTGAAAGGCGGCAGGTTATGGCCCTGGTCTGAGGCTGCGGGTGGCTTGCGTCAACTTGTCAAGCTAAATGCCGTTTGTTTGTTCTATCCGTACTGACGGGACGTTGTAGACGATTCTGAAAACGGACAGCGCTATCTGTATCGCATGGCGCATCGTGGCTTCCCCAATGCCATGTGTCTTAGTCTTTGCTCTTGCACTTTACCTTACCTAAGAAACTCCATCTGAGAGTCTGGGACAGAAGGCAAGAACCTTGCACTCCTTCTCGATCTCGACTTCAATGCCAACGTCTCATCGTCTGCGTCCATCGCCAAGGTCTTTTTTCCATCTCATCGTCAATGCTCTCCGCTCAACGACGGGCGCCTCCGTCTCACGTCTCTCGCTGTCCCCTCGTCCCGTATTCCGTGTCAACGTCAGCTCATCAGCCATCTCGCATTAAACTGCCTTGAACTGCCACACGCCAGTGGTTCCCCGCGTCTCAACCTCATGCTGGCCTCAAAGTCAACAAGAGTCAAGACCACCGGCTTCACAAATTTCCAAGTCGTCGGCGTCAAAGAAGACCGAGGTGGGTGGGCCAGGAAGATGGAGCTGCTCAATACAAACTCAACGGAAATTCGGAGAACGAAGCAAGAGACGACGTGGAGCGATTGCTGGTGATCGAGAAGAACGCTCGTGGATCGCATCAAACTACTCAACATGCTGCTGTCGTTGCCGCTGCCGCTACCGTTACCGCTGCGCTCCATGATACGGCCAGCATGACAAGTTGCACCATGTTGTCAAGCCATCACAAGGCCACACGCTGCACGTTACTCATGCATCACAATGCAGCATCATCAAAGGAGTCGCAAATGGTTGGTGAGGACCGCTTCCGCCAGAAGCAGGCCAGCTGGTAGACACCGAACAACTGCATCGCGAAGCGCGTTTATGTGTCTTGCGGGCGTGATGCACTGCGTCGTTACTGGTGGTGTGTGGCCGACCGACAGCGACCCGAGCCAGTGAGCATCGACCACGCCCAAATAGCTGCTGGCGGATTGTGCAAGTTGAGAAGGAGCCTGTCGGCCGGTGTGTGTCAGCCATTTGCGGCCCGCCAACCATGGCCTCTGCTTCATCGACGCGTGAGCCGGCGGCGTGCCTACACCAATGAAGCAGCCAACGACCAGGAGAAAGAGTAACACGAGGTTGACGGACAAACGGGCTGACAGTCCGGCCTTCCGCAGTTCCCGCTCGGCTGTGGTGCTACGCTTGTCTATTGTTAGTGTTGTGTGCGTCTTTTTTTTTCCCCCTCTCGCTCTGTCGCTCCGTCTCCAACTATTCTTCTAGCGGCCGGCGGTATCGATGCCACCTCGGCAGGCGTCGATTGATGCGCATCAAGACATTGGTTCAAGATGGCGCCATGACTTTGATGCTTGAGACGGCTACTAGAAACGGGTTACGGGAGGCTTTCACGTCTGTGCGAGGTGAGAAAGGGGGAAAGTCTAGGAACGGCCGGAACAAGAGCAACAACATGTTGATGGTTGGGATGAGCAAATTCAGCGCATGGTGCGAATGGATGGGAAGATGAAGGGTCGGGGAAAGCAAGCATGAACCCGCTGCGAGTCGACGAGCTGGGCAGCCTTGTTTCTTTTCTCTGCGTCTTCTGGCCTGCTCTTCTACCGCCGGGACGCTCGAGGTTTCTGCACGGATGTGTTGGTGCTGCAGCCATGATCCCTCCACACTGCCGAGACGGATGAAATACTGGCAGCGCGATAGGCTGGGGACATGATCAGTCTCCACCCGGGACCCAAGTCCAAGTCAAGAAAATCAAGGAAGCAAGACCAGTCACCGCCATCCTCGCTCGGAACGGGCCTATGACAGGCGCAGACAGAATGAGGCCAGCTGGCTAGCGCCGCGTGTTAGCTCCTGTTGACCTGCGGTCTTTCTGTGACGGCCAACACCAAGGCACATATTGGATACGACGAGGTCGGTCGGCGATTCGGCGGTGGACGCTGGCCGCATGTCTGTCTGTTTCCAAGGTAGCCAGCAGAAGCTGAGAAGATGATGCTGCCAGGAATCCAGACACTCTGGCCAGAAGCTGCCCACGACACAAGACAGAGAGATGAGACTGGATGGGCTTGGAAATGAGTGGTGGACAAGATATTCCAAGATGTGATTGCTATTGCCTTGGCCTAGCATCCATCTGCAGAAACCAAGGGCGCCAATGCTTCGGAACAGGGGTTGTCTCTGGCCAGCAGAACATGGGCAGGGGGGGCCACGCATGTCGACGTGGTAGACAACTCCACCCCCAATCCTCCCCTCCCGAGTCTGCCATGCCCGCAGCCCCTTGGATGCCCCCCTCACAGACCTCATCTCGTTCGCTCGTTTGTGCAAATGCCAGCAGAGACATGGCTTCGTCCCGCAACATTAAAACCCGCTGACCCCCTCTGTCCCTGCCCGACGTCTGTCTCTCTTCTTATTCTTTCAGCCCAACCCGCAACATCATTCCTACCCAACTTCTTCTGCATTCTGCATCGCTGATCTCTGGCAACCCGACAAGCGCCAATACTCTCTTCTTTTACCCGCCTACATCCCTTCAGTCCTCACACAAACGGCCATCTTGAGCTAAGAAAGATCAAAAAAGATCTTCCGTATATTGCCACCCAAGGATTACCATACTCGACACCATCTCGACCAAAGCATTTCAAAGGAACGTCGCAAACAAGTGATCCGCTGTGTTTGCTCTTTTCTTTGGTATCTTCACACGACACAACTCAGCCGAGTTGATTCACATTGCCCTGGACTTGCATGACTACGCGACCCGAGGAATCAATGACTGCCCTTGTTGTTCCGCGCCCGGATATGCCTGGCTACAATTCTCTTGATTTGGACGACGTCCACACACCTTCTAGGTATTGTCTTTTCTTATTCTGTTCCCAGGGTGGTCCGTCGTCTTTTTAAGTCATGTCTTGCGAGCTTCATGTACAGTTTCTTCGCGTCTCTACCAACCAGATTTTTCCCGCCGCGGAGGCATTCAAACACAAAGGATACCACGACCCATGGACTCTTGTTCCGGACTATTTTTTTGCCTGGACACATTCCCAAGGATCATTGCCCAGGATATTCTTCCATTCCACTGGACACAGGAGACCGTAGTGCAGAGGCCTAGCCTCTTGCCTGTCGTGCCAGACGCGGTCATCAACAATATTTGATACTACAATTCTCACGGTGAGTACTGCCCGACGAGAGCAAACCTGAGACCAGCAGCAAATTGCCTCACTGGAATATTTCGCACGAAACAACTGGATAAATCTGGAAACCTTTTTGCCTATGGATACTCATGGATATGACCATCTGGAACCCATGGACGTCTCTCCGAGGCTATAGAGGCTGCCTAGCTTCGCATTTGGATGGGCTTGACTGGACACCTGTTCCCAACGACCTTGGACACGCCGGTCCTACCGCTCTGTTGATGCCTTATTTCAGGCTTGACATTGGCACATCTTTTTCGAAGAATGGACCCTGGATAGTCACAGTGCTCCAGCACGTACCGACTTGTATTCTCTCTATTGATGGATTTCCGTTTGCTTCGATTCTCTACTTCGACTTGAGACTACCTGGTTTGCCTTCACAGCTGTAAACCCTAATGGACAGGGTCTACTATAAGCTGTCCTATGGAACTTCGGCCATCGACACCGGTATAACTTACCCCTTTGAGGATCCTACACAACTGCTCACGCCTTTTGAACCGACCCAAGGACAACATCTCACCGAGGAAACTTGACCGCATCTTCAGGGCTACTATAACACGACCAACCTCGGCACACACTCAAGGACCTCTGTTCACGATTCTTGACCCTGAGGATTTCCGACCCATCTCTGTTTATTACACGCACCTGGAGCTCCATGTCTTAACCGCGGATCTACACTGGACCAATCTCGCCATCTCTCACCGGACTTTATCCTGGCATGATCATGTTGATCTGCGCTCGCTTGGTCTGTCAACTCATAATTCCGAACCTGTGAGGCATAAGACCCGCCTGCTAACATGATTGAACTACAGGAACAAAGTTGTACCATGTTGAGATGTTTTCTTGTTTACTTGTTTTGCATTGCACATGAATAGTGGAGAAACAGCACACTAACCCCCCCTTTCAGCGACTACAGC